GGGCCCCCATTAAGGCGTGGGATCTCTGTGGGACAAGAGGGCCTCGGAGGCCTGGGAAATGACTGCAGCAATTCGGGGGGGACAAAGGGCCCGGGCTTGTGGGGGCCCCCCCTGCAGCTGCTCAGCAAGGGTCAGGAGGCCCCTGAGCTCGCGGGCCTCTCCGAGGCCCAAGGGGGGCCCCTCTGCTTCCTTTTCGGGTCTCCTTTTGGGGCCCTTGCGCTCTTCCCTGCGGCCCGAGGGGCTTATACTGCTGCTGCTGCTGCTGCTGCTGCTCGGCCTCTCCAGGATGTCCTGCATCCTGCAGCAACGCGGCAGCAGCAGCAGCAACAGCAGCAGCAGCAGCAGCAACGACCCAAGTGAGGAGCGGAGCTCGCAGCAGCTGCTGGTGTTGTAAACTCAGCAGCAGCAGCAGCAGCAGCAGCAGCAGCAGCAGCGAGGCCGCGAACCAGAGGCGGAAACGCTGACTCGCAGCAGCAGCACAAGCCACAGGTGCAGCAGCACTACCAACGGCAGCAACAGCAGCCGCGTTAGCAGCAGCAGCAGCAGTAATAGTTGCAACAGCAGCAACAGCCGCAAAACTAGCACCAGCACCAGCAGGAGCAGAAGCAGTGGCAGCAGCAGCAGCAGCAGCAGCGCTGACAGCAGCAGGAGGAACACAAACTGCAAGAGAAGCACTAGCAGCAGCAGAAGCCCTGGCAGCTGCAACAGCAGGAGCACCGGAACCAGCAGCAGCATTAGCAGCAGCAGCTGCAGCAGCCGCAGCAGCAGCAGCAGCAGCAGTTACCTCTGCGCAGCCTTGAAGAGCTGGAGCGTGCGTTCAAGGCGGGCGACGGCCTGCTGGTGGGGGCCCCCCAGCTTGGCAGTTTGGACTTGCTGCTGCAGCTTCTCAAGACTTTCAAGTTTTAAATCTTTTGCTGCTTCTTCATTTAAAACTATTTCCAAAGTCCCCAGCAGCTCCAGCCGCCGCTGCTGCAGCAGCCGCAGCGCCTCCCGCCGTTCCCCCTGGGGGCCCCTCACCCGCAGCAGCGGGCTGGGGGGGGGCCCCCCGCTGGGGGCCCCCGGGGGGGCCCCCCGG